TATATATATATATATATATATAATTATATCTGATTGTGAAATGATCCCTTTAGGATTACTTAAAGCAGATAGATCAAATAAGCTTTTAAATATTTTACTAAAAATTACTTTATTTAAAATAACGATAATTAAAATTGCAGCACTTTTTCTCTTGGTATCATTAATTCTGATTTATGTTGATTCGGTTTGTAACAAATTCTTTCTTTCGTGCAATATGTATATTTGAATGTGTTTTACAAAAATAGAATCGTTTTCATTTCTCATTTATGAAATGAATGAAATTTTTTACATTTTATATTTAAATTTCATCAACATAATCATCAGTGGTGTATATCACGGATTCTATTGAAGTATTGTAAATGGAGAAAGAATCAGGAACGCTGTTTTTTATTCCTTATTTTTTAGACTTTATCATCTGCATTATAATTTTTAACCATGTTTGCGTAGCAAGTATGAGAATAAGAAATATTATATATTTGATATTTTATCTTGACGAATACAAATATATGGTGTAGGACCATATATTAAGACGTTAAGACGCTTTCATATGGAATTATCAGATGTTATAACTTTAGATTTTCAGATTTTAGAGATTAGATTTTTTTTAATAACAGAGATTTGTGTGTGTGCGTGTGTGCCTAACAGATAGATTCTACAAGCACGTTGGCATGCAAGATACAACCTGTCGATTAAAGTGTCTAGTCGTTCTTGATATGTTTATATTGTGCCAGCCTTTATACACACATACAGTCATTTCTTTAACTACTTGAAAATTCATATATGGGGATATATATTAATTCTGTTTTATTGAACTATGGAACAATATCTCTCTCTCGAATAATAAGGCTTCAAAGAAATAAATCAAGATGAATAAAAAATGCAAGGCAATGTAAGCCGATACATTGGATGGTAATATTTCGGCTTACATTTAAAACTTATATTGATTTGCAGGTAAAATACTTGTGCGTATTATTATTAACAATAACTGACAATTACAAACGTTATGATTAAGGTCATCTTCAGTGTTAGAAACATACATGTAATTTTGCAATTATTAACAGAAAATTTCAAAACCTATTATGTCAAATATATTCAAGAATATGTTTATTACAATAAAGTGATAAAAATCATTGTATATCTGATGATACAAATGACAAACACATAATCTTTTCTGTTTGTCATGAATCTCGTACACAAACTTTAATCGTCTTAAGCTGTTCCGGTATATACTGACAAAACAACACTGAACGTCGCAAGATCGTGCGGCAGCAGGTGGTAAAAAGATCGGTGCTTGCTGAAGCAAGTGCTGGGCAGGTATTCGCGACGTGCCGTAGGGGAGACGAGTTCTTGCCCGAACAAGACGGGCACGCGGTTAGTCATCAAGGCTCTGAGATTGTCCCCGTACACGGCAACTCGACCGGTTGACCAAAACCACAAGATTCCCCTTTTGTTTTTTTCTTTCTCTTCCTCCACCACTTCCGATCCTTGAGTTTTCTAGCAATTCCGAAAAGTACACTAGAAAATGTGTGTCACCTGTGACGTCATCTGTCAAGTATACGTATACTATAAATAGTCGCTCAAAATCCGTGATTGGTAGCGAAAACACGATGAATAAAAGCGAGATTATAATTCTAAATCATTAATTTTCTGTAGTTTGTAACCCACATGTATATTATTTCCACATGGGAATCCATTGGGGTGTACAAGTTGTGCTTTCTAGCATAGACCTGTTTAAAGTGTTATGAACAACGATAGAATTTTTTTTCGAACGAATGTCATGAGTGAATAATCATTCACGCTTGCAAAAGACGGATACAATTAGTTATTCTCTCTAATTTTACAGCTTGACAATAATAAAATTTTACATCGTCTTCAAACGTTACATTATAAAAATAAATAAATTTTTCGAATTTCAATCGTAAACGCATTTTATTTTATTATATATTTCACACTTTATCGCCATCAATTAGACTTGAAAGTGAGATCAATCATATTTGATTTGTAGACATTCGAGGATGTCTGGTCTGCATCGAATGAAGTGAATTAGTGTTATTGATGTGTTATTGTGGTGTATCGTGCGCGACAATATCTTACAGGTTTTTTTAAATACTAACTTTCTTCATATGGAATATGAAGCCAACCGCACGCGCACGCGCGCATAACTCAAGTGTTTTATCGCGAGCTTACCATCTCCCAAGACTGCTGCTGCGCCTTCGGTCATGTTCGTCGAACTGTTTTTACCATGTTCTACCCATGCCAACGGATACGGATCCGAGGTGCTAATCCGATGCATCTATACACGCCCAGCTAATAGAACCAGTTTTATGCGTTACTGGTATATATTTTCGAAAAATATTGTTTTTCCTCTTTCTTTTTTTTCTCTTTCTCTCACGTGGTATTCATTTTTATTTATTACGTCATCTCCTCTTTTCAAAATCGAGACATATCGTATATACAGTATGTCTAATAATAATTATATAATATTTCATTTCTCTATGTATTTTTATCTGTATATTATAGATTTTATCGTATAAACTATAATAAAGATTTGTTTTATTTGTTTAATATATATGTTTAATATATATGTTTAATATATGTGTTAAATATCGACAGGATAAGATTGAATATATCCTGGTTAAAAGGTGTGATGGTGAATTATTTTTTTAAACAAGTTAGTCTAGATACAACTGATCTGTTCCTTTTTTTCGCACATTGAAATCTTTCTTATTACTTTGTATTCCTTTTTTTTTTATTGCTATGAAAATCTGTATGTGCATCTGCAGAGCGCAGATCACTCTGATCTATAAATCGCAATATTTCTCAAATGATTTCTCTATCACGTGCGGGCCCTTCCTTCCTCTTTCACGTCCTTCACAGGTCCAGTGGGTCCCACTGAGTCTCCCATCCCCGTCCTTCTTTCACTCGGTGGCATCGTCCGCGCGTCTAGAGGCTGAAGCGCCTCTCGTTGATGCGGAGCACTGACCCGCAAACTGGTTCCTCCATTACACCAGGCTTTCTTTCCCCTCCCCCTTTTCTCTCACTTCATCTTTTCTTCTTTCTCTCTGTCTCTCCCCGCTTCGTATATACCTTCCCCTTCCACCTTTATTTCTTCTTTCTCTTCTTTCGTGTGCGCGCGTGCGTGCATGTATGCATGCATGCATGCATGCATGCATGCATGCATGCTGCATCTCTTCCTCTCTCTCTCTCTTTCTCTTCACGTTTCAACGTGTCCCTTTTACTTAGCTTCTCCGCATCCATATCAGACTCGGCAAAGTCTCTTCCCCTTCTCTGCAGAATGATTGGCCTCCAAGAGTCTAAGATTCGGCAAGAGAGCGCTAAAACAGACAGCGCTGTATCGTCTGTAGTTTTTAAGTAGTTTTTTTTTTTTAATCAATCTGCTAAAATTTATTATTCTCGATGATTTTTCTCGAATTATTTCCAAAATTGTTTTATGCGACTTATTATATTGTGTGTTGAGAGTAAATCGCAAAGCAATCTAGTTAATAGAAATGAAAAGTGAGATGTGGTTTAAACCAAGCTAAAAGTTCAACTTAATGCACGCTTCGAACTTTGGAAAGAGAAGCCTGCTTAAAATTATCTCCCTTTACTAATCTATCATTTATAAACTCTTTTGTAAAATTTGTTTGTGGGCGTTAATCAAGTTTTAAAGCTTCGCGTCTCATTGTCAGTTGTCTGTACTTGCAGTATAAAGTATAAACGGTGCCGTCATAGGTATAAACATTGAATTAACGCTGAATTAATTTGCACTCTGTCACTTATCGAAAAGCAATCGATCATTTTATGCCTTTCTACCATATAATAATCAACCATGTCAATAGGCCTAATTTAATTGGCGATCATCATCATGATTATCGACATTGTTGCTGACATACGGATTTCAGTCAGTGTAGAAAACAAACACAGCAGTATATATTGGATTTGTCAGGATGCATTAGTATATACTTTAGAATACTAGATTCATATTGGAACGCAGAAAGCCGAACAAGAACGACAAAAGTTATTGCTGTAGAAAATCAAATATCTTTGGTGTGTCTTATCTAGTGTCTTATGTTTCTTTTCTTGATTATAAAAAATAAAACAGATTGTACCGCATATATTGAACTAATGTGACATAAGAAAGTGCATTATTACTTATATATAAACTTTTGTAAAATTGCGATATGCAAGTATGCGTTTCGTTTTACTCGATTCATGAATTGGCCATTACATCGCAAAGTAATAAATTGATGAATAACAGCTAAGTCTTGATACTCGCAACGGCAAACTGCAATGTTGGAAATTTTAGCTTTGTGAAATAAATTACAAATATTAACTAAGACATTACAATATTGTAAAATGTTCATGATAAAAGCAGTTATGTTATATTCAACGACACAAGTTCTCTATAATATCTCTATAGTTTATCAAGAGAAGCTCTTTTTCAATTTAATTTTTAATTAAATTAAATCATGTTTTTCAGTTAATGATAAATTTACCTCGGATTAAAAATCTTGATAGAATTAAGACATTGAACTAGAGAAAATTCCTATATTATATTGTCATTATCTTTTATACGATACAAGCAATTTAACTGAACTGGTTTCAATTTTTATCTCTGATCGCATTTGCTTCTTGCGAATTAAATTGACTTATTGTTTCAATTTGATTATATTCTGGTTTACCAATCGCAGGTGAGAATGTGTGCTGATACATTTTTATTTAATGACTCATCATGTTTAATATTTTTATCATTATGGACTTATTGCGACTGTTATAATGGAAGAATATAACCGATAATATTACTAGAATGAAAAGCATTGCATTGTTACGAAAGATAGATGAAAAAATACTATCAACTTTTTGCGTAACTATAAATTGTATAATTTGTATTTAACATGTATTTTTATTAACTTTGTCGAATTTGCGTTTAATTTCTTTACACTGAGGATGAAAATATTTTTATTCTTTTTTTATTTTTATTAACATATGTAAAAGAAAAAAGTGAGAGGAGAGTGGGAGGGAGGGGGGAGGGGGAAGGGAAGAGAGAGAGAGAGAGAGAGAGAGAGAGAGAGAGAGAGAGAGAGAGAGAGAGAGAGAGAGACTCGTGTATTCGATTACGAAAGAATGTAATGGATAAACCTTTCCAAAGTTTTACTTGACAAAAAATAATCAATAAAATTATAAAGAATTGTACATCAAGTAACAATATCGTTATTAATTATATTAAATTTTATATATATAAAATTAGAATTAAAGCTTTCTCATTAATTTGCAAAGTAGCAAAGCTGTCGATGTTAAACACTGTCAACAGAAGCACTTACCTGTCGTTGAATGGATTTGGAGCAATAGTCCGATTAGTGATATCAAGAGGAAGGTTCTATACGGGGATACCGTGATATCCTGCCGCAAGGCCGTCATCTCAGGCGGCCCGCGCCAGGTGCTCTTCCGACGTGCCGCTATCCCTGCGGTGAATCTCACCTCAGCTTTCTTAACTTCCGCCTTCGTTCCCGCCAGGTCTGCAACGTGCCGACTTCGTGCTTCACATTTCATCTGCTTGTGCCGATTCTTATCCAATTCGGATCTTCGTTTTCACCATTTAAACTGTAGCGAAAGATCGTGAGTTACGTCTCAATATTAGTTCACTATTTTCTCTGATCGTTCACGAAATTTATGTCATAGATTTTGTTTTCTGTATATCGGGTACGTGCTTTTGTCAAAACATATCTATATTGGAATGTTTGAAAGTGGAAATTATCTTTTCGAGTCAAGTTTGAAACGATTTTTGTACTTGAATAAGAACTAAATTTTATCTTACGTTGTCACCATAATTTTATACATATGTTTTATATCATGAATACAAAAGTTAATACTTAAATAGAATTAATTTTTTTAAATAGACGCGCTCTCTATGAAAATTAAAATAAATTATGATACTTGTCACTTTATACACATATCGCGACTCATGTTAAATAAGTGCCATCTTTTTACATGTTACATATATTTTTTCTAAATTGATGTTATCGTTTTTCTGTTTTTGATCGATATTTTTTATCTTAAATTGAAAAATTTGTTACTATTCTCTTTTGTGTATATCTCTCTCTCGTGACTCTCTCTCTCTCTCTAACAAAGACGAGTTTCTATTAGTTATATAGATTTTATATGCTTATGTTTTTAGTGCACAATATCGTTATATAGTGTTAATTTAAGTTTATAATAATATTCATATTGAATACTTTGATCTATATTGATCGACATCCATAAATTTTTTGTTGTTTATTAAAACGTTACAAAACTTTGTAATCTCTATTTTCTTGCAAATTTTTTGTTATTTCAAGGTCATATATTTTATTTATACGAATAATAATGAGATTTTTCAGATGATTTATTTATAACTATTTCCTCTTTCTATGTCAGATTTCAAATAAATATATCTCATTGAATCACATAAGATTTTCTACGCGATTCTTGAATTATGATGATTACGTATCGGAAGGTTATCCACGAGGACGTGTGAATACGGATCGATTCAAACACCTGTGGATGGTTGAAAGTTTCGCGTTAAGCGTAATGACGGTATCGTTTGTGTATTATATTTGCTCATAGGTTTTTTGTAAATATTCATTTTCTTGTATGATTCATCAATCGAAACACGACACTTGAAACCACCAGTCGCAAATTATCGCGACACGTGGTGTACGCGCGCTTTACAAAACAAAATGCACATTGCACAAGTAGCGATTTTCAAGGATTCTTGGGTGCCTTTCACGCTCGATAGTTTCTTTTTTTGCAATCAATTTCATAAATTTTCCGAGAATACACACGGATAAATTTTGTACAATTTACCTCAGCATCCTCAGCGTCAATAGATATTGTTTTTTCTTAACTATCCACGATTTTTGATAAGGTGCTTGTTAGATTTACGACATAATTGTCGATTTTCCACGAGTTTACTTCGCGGCGCGATGTCTAAATTTATCAGTCAATACTAAGCACGCGAAAGATTGTTGGACAGACTAAGAGAAGTAGTCGACAGTTGGTAGTCGGTAGCCAGCAACAGCAGCAACAGCAGCAGCAGCAGCACAAAGCGAAACGTTTCGCTGTATGCCGAGCGAAGCTCTGCAAAAGCAGTCTGCACACGCGGACGCGCTGTGTTGTATCATCCCCACTTCTCTTCTTCGAGCGTACGATTGCGGCGATGACGATAGTGGCAATGGTGGTGGTGGCGGTGGTGGCGGCGGCGGCGGCGGCGGCGGCGGCGGCG